TATATAGAGAGAGAGAGAGAGAGAGAGAGAGAGAGAGAGAGGAGGTTCACTAGTGCGGGCCAAAACGACAATAAACAGCACCGGTGGACACTGATATGGCACGCAGTAGTGAACCCGACCGTCGTTGAAATTGAGGCAGACATAGAGGGATGTACAGATTGAGGGATGCATGTCTGTCATCATCCCTGATGTCTAATATGGTCTGTCGTGGTGTGTGGGTGTGTCTCCGGTCGCTTTCGTGGCCGAGCACTAACTATTGCGTCTCCTGTTGACAAGCCGGGGTGTAATGTCTCCCCCCAAGCTGTCGCCATTGCGCCGTGTATGAGGCAACTCAGGTTGACTTTCCATGTCAGTAACGTTGCTATCACAACCTCTCTATTGACCAGAACAAACCATCCCTTGGCAACACGTGACCACTTTTTCCCCTTGTTGCATGATTTCATTATGCTGGTCACTGCGGCATACCGTAGTGCACCATCTGGTGTTGCCCCTTCATCACAACACGCTGCACTTTGTGCGGATCGGGAAAAGCACGTGCAAACCTCATAATTGCATGTGCCCACCCTTTTGTCACTTGTCCACCCGCAGCCTTCAAATCATAATATACATCATGTTCCTCGTCTTCCTCGTCGCTGCTGACATCGCTGCCGCTCACATCCACGTCAGAAGATGATGCCCCCTCATCCTCTTCTTCTACACTGTTTGTGTACTCTGCACAACAACTTGCCAAATCGGCCTCTTCAAATCCACGATCACACTGTTCTTTCTCCATTGTGAAAGCATTGAAGATATCGCAACACACTAGCTGCTCTCTCGTTGCTGTCTGCATGGGAGGCACATCGACTGCCATACTGGTTATTGATTCTTGTGCTGCTGATGTCTGTTCGTTGTCTGGAATGATTGTTAAATTTGTTTCCGTGGCCATCACCTTCCACCCTTCTTCTCTTTCTCTTTGTCTCTCAACATCGCAGCTTGCAAGACCAAGCCGCTCCAAAGCAGCTGATAACAACTCCCCCCACAACGGTCCGCTAGATATGATGTTGTCTTCTGTTATTGCTGACACAAATTCTATCAGATCTTGATCCTGCAGTGCAAACTTTGTCACTTCGTGCAACGCCTCATGGATGACGTTCCTATCGTCGTCACTCTTTTTCATGAAGTCCACAAGTTGATCCAGCAGAATATATTCCACACCATCTGCGACAATGACAAAATCATCTTGAAAGTCTCCAGGCGGTGTTTGTGTAATGTCCTTCATTCTGGACAACACCAATATTTCTGCAGCATCACTCTTCAACTCGTCCTTCGACCCATCAACCAGCATTCCACCATTCCGTGCAACAGTGCCCAGCAACTTGCCCAAGTTCGCAGGTGTATATGTTCCCCTTGCCTGCTGCATTGTCATGTCCACGTCTCCTTCTTCGCACATCCCTTCGCTGCAGATCCACTGGACCACTCCTTTTAGACTGTATGCACTGTCTTCCACATCGTTGTCCACACGTACATGTGGTGACTCTCTGAAGCGTTGCAAGAGTGTTCGTGCTTTGACACAACCCTCGCCGTTTGCCATGATTGTGGATCTCATATCCACAACGACTATGAAGTACCTCGGCACCCTGTCCTGAAGCAAAGACAACTCGCTGTCACCGTTGTAGTGGACGCCCTCCTTTGCATACTTCATTACCTTTGCAAGAGCAGCCTCCACCTGTGCTACTTACATTGACATGATGCGTACGGTTTGTCTTTCGTCCTCTTCTCTCTGCTAGCGGAAACATACAATGACGTCATCGGCATGTGTGTGTGTGTGTGTGTGTGTGTGTGTGTGTGGCGTCTATGTATGAACCTATGTGGATGTTTGTGTGTCTTTGTGTATATGTCTATGGATGTGTGTGTATGAATGGTCTGTGCGTGTGTCTGCGTGTCTGTTCCCAAGTTGGCTACTGCATGCCATTCGAAGTCGCAACAGTAATCATTTGTCAGTTTCTGGCACGCAGTAGCCAACTTTAAGGGTGCATGCCAGAATGTGTGTGTGTGTGTGTGTGTGTGTGTGTGTGTGTACTGTCTGTCTGTCTGTGTTTGTGTGTCTGTCTGTCCGTCTGTCTGTCTGTCTGTCTGGTTTGTAAGTGCATGAACCGATAGGCGAAGTCTATCTGTCCTTCTGTCTGTCTGTCTGTCTGTCTGTCTGACTACCTGTGTGTCTGTCTGTCTGTCTGTCTGTCTCTTTCTTTCTTTCTCTTTCTTTCTCTTTCTTTCTCTTTCGTTCTTTCTTTCTTTCTTTGTCT